CATCTCCTGACCTCTGGTTTCCCGTAATTGCCAGTTCTGCTGCAGTCCCGATTCATCTTGAGCCACATCCCCTTCACCGGAGCAGTCTTGCTTCGAAGATTACAGCAATTTACTTTCCCCTTAGTAATTTAATCTAGTTCTTGTGCAGTCAAGTTGCTGGCATTCAGTGCGTCTCAAGGGGGGGGAAAAATCTAATAGCAAGTAAATCCATGAGGGAGTTAATCAAAATGGGCTGGAACCCTTTTTAAAAGCCCTGGTAAAAGCACCTGTTTTGTATTGTGGTGTCTATTGCAGAAGTAAACTTGGCAGTGAAAGATTAGAGTCTGAACAGCTGATAACGGCGCAGACTCGAGCTGCCGCTGTTCATATTACAGAAAATCCCCCTCTCTCCCTTTTTTGGAGAGCTTTCTGCTTTCCCTTTAATGTGCGAGACCAGCACAAAGACGTCTTCAGGTTCCTGCACATCAGTTTATACTCTTCTTGTGTCCATAACGGCTAGCTGTATCTTGCAAGTCTTACGAATAAAAGAGAGGTAGGTTTTGATTCCCCCCGCCCACTGTGCATGTCAAAAACGAGCTGGTGGCTTGGAAGTAGGGGTGGGTGTGTGGGGCTTGGGGTGGTCCTTGGGAATTAAGCGCTTGTTATTAAAGAGGAATTAATTCCCAAGCACGTATGCGCACGGTGCATTTCCATCCACGTGGGGGGCTGTTTGCCTAAAGCTATTCTGCTCCGTTTCCATGTTGCTACGTCCTCGTGCTCGCCCTCCCTGGAGAAGATGAGCATAAATGTCCTAACTAGAACAAGGGCTGGCCTGGAGGGATGGTCCCCTGGGGATAGAGGCACGGCCCGCTACAGAGGAAGCTCTTTGGGAGATGGGAGATGCTACTTGCATCTTCATTGCCTTTGCACCCTGCAACCCGCCTCCTACCTCCAGTTCGGTCTCAATTGCAGTAAAGCGAAAAGGCTTTTCTTGGAGGCCACTTTGCCGTGCGCTCACTGATGTAGCGCAAGGCGCGCCTTGCCAGCGCAAGCTGTATACCGGCTAAAAGTATCATTGCCTTTTACTTCTGCCTGGCTTCTTCCCACTGCCTGACCTCGGCCTTTGCAGGTCCCGTGGGCAGCGGAGCGGAGACGGGAGCTCCCCCAGCATTGCTGACATAGATGAGACCCAGGAGATGGCTCCCGGGCTCTTTGGCTCGTGTTGCAAGACGTTTCCCAACCTCTCCTCCACTAGCATTTGCCTTGCTAAGTGTAACGTGGTTGGGAGCTGCCTCTGCAAAAACAGCAAAAGCAAACAAGGCATCAGCAGTTTGCCTGGATTTGTCGTGGCCTAAGCAGATAGGGTCTCCCCTGGCAGAAAGTCTTGAGACGCGGCTCCATGCCTGAGGTCATCGGACAACTTGTTCTTTTCCGCACCCACCTTACGTTTCAGCATGCAGTCAGGAGTGACTCAGTATTGAATATAAAGGCGGTTTCCTGCTAGATCCAGCTGAGCTCATTTCCTGAGCTGCACCCGGAGTCTGGGAGGCTCTGCGTAGAAAACAGCAAGACGGGAGTCACCCTCGGCATCGCGAGCAGGAAATAACCGCAGGCTGCCAAAGCCTGCCGTCACCTGCCCTTGCCAGCCACGACCCCAAATCCTGCCATCAAAGGATGCACGAGCCGTCCAGGTTGCTTTGCGCTCGTTCTGCATGCCCTGCCATGCGGGTCTCTGTCCTAAAAGCAGGTGCAAACTTCTCGGCTTTGTGCTTTTTAAACTAATTGGCTCAAAACTTCATCAAGCAGAGCTGATGGAGCCACATCTTCCTCGTGGCAGGGCTGGCTCTGGAGAGGACTGCTCTGGAAAAGCTGCTGAAGTTCACAGCACGTAAATGCAGATCCTCACCCCCGAGTTGTCAGACTTGTCTCGCAGCTGTACGATGCTGCATCGTGTCGGTGGCTGAAGAGAAGGGTCAGGAAATGCGTGGGATTTGAATGGGATATAAAAATAGCACCAGGGGGGAGCGGATTACCTTATTTTCTCTTCTTCAGGCTTCCAGCAAGCCTCAGGCCTCTGTCTGGCCCTGTAGAGTCCTAAACACCTTTAGCTGTTTTTGAATTGATCCAAACTTCAGGCCTAACTGTGGTTTTCCTGGGATGCTGGGAGAGCTGAGTGAGATCCAAAGGACATTTTGCAGCATTTCCAAACACTTTCCCATACGACTGCAGTGGTGGATGGTGCAGCTCTGGGAGCAGGTGGTTTAATTCTGCGCTGACCTCACTTCGAGTCCAGTTGCACTGACCAGGGGCCTCGCCACCCCCCGTTTAAACCACCTTTCCCAGTGCCTGGGATGCAATGTCAGCCGCTCGGTGGGTTGAGCGCATGCCGCAGGGCCCCTAATGTCCTGGTTCTAATCCTGTGTCCCAGTGCTGGTTTTTTGGCTTTGGGGAAATCGCTTCCCTGCTTTGCTAGATGTCTGCAAAAGGAACAATACAGACTGACTTCCTTAGGGAAGGGCCTGGCAACACTTAATTCATTTTGCATGGACTCGTGTTAAAAGCGGAGGGCAGGAAAAGTAGTTTCCCAACCGTGTAGCTGACGCACCGCAGAATAACGTGCTTGTGGAATAGATGGCTGACGAGAGCACAGCTGGCTCTTCAGTCCCTTTTGTACCCATGGCTTCCTTTCCAAGCCCTTTTTTTTTTTTTTACAAGGGAAAGAGAGAATAGAAGGAAAACAAATCGGCATTTGGACCGGGCTCTAAAACGCCTATTTTGGAAGAGCAGAGGGGAATGCATTCGCCCAGACGGGGGCTAGGAAATGAGATGGGAGTGCCCCTGAAACTGTTTAATTCACTGGCATCCACCACCTCACCCTGGCCTGGGAGTGGTCGAGATCATGACGCTGGCACCGTCTCCGGTGCTATTTTAGGTTTCTGAGCATAATTACATGTTGCGCCCACAAGACTGGGTTTCGAGCTATTTGAGGACCAAGCTGCTCTGAGATGATCAGCCGGGGAGGGAACAGAAACAATAGACATGTCTTCTTTTTTTTTTTTTTTTGAACTCGAGGGAATGGGTGTATTGCAGCGTATTGCCTGGCACAATGCGGGTTGGTTCGTGTGCCTGGCACAGCGAAGAAGCTGGTTGATGGTGACTTGGCTAACTCTTAGATGCAAGAGGGTTGCAACTCGTCTTGCAAGGAGACTTGCTCTCTCCAGTTTTTAGCAGCTTTGGAGAGCCTGTGCAAAGGCCATTAGGTACAATATCAGAAAGTCTCGCCATGCCTGAGCGGTCCCGTGATGAATTTGTGGGAGGTGAGACTTGCTGCCATCCGTGACCCTTGCAGAGAACACTGGAGGAGACGAGCGACCTGGCGAAAGTTTCCTTGCTCTCGTTGCCTATTTGTAATCACGTCTTGACATTAAATCAGGTACAGCCCTGGCATCAATTCTCTGGGTAAGAACGAGGGAGCAGGTGATACGCTGCGTTAGAGAGACCCCAGCCAATAATTGTAGTGTAGCGTGGTAGTGGCGTGAATCCGGATAATTTCCCCAAAATGTTGCTGTTAGTCAGGGCAGAGGGCTGGGGCAGGAAGGATCTTATTATTTTGGCTCTTCCAGCCGGGTAGGAAAGATCCTGCTGTATATACCAACTTTCTTCCCAGCGCTTGCTGCTTAGGGGCAGGTTAAGCAATGCTTTTCCTTAGCATTGGGGAAAACCAACTTTTCCTTCTTTGTGGTTGTGGTGGGTTGGGGTCGTGGCTGTGGTTTCCCGATATCCCCCTTGTCCAGCCTCCCTTGGTGCCTGGGAATAATTAACTGCTGGTGCAACTTAGTGCAGCCCTTAGACCAGGGGCGGGCAATTATTGCAGCTGGTGGGCTGCTTAACGAGGTTTGGTGAGCTGTCGAGGGCTGCATGGGTAGCCCCGCCCTTGACAGTTGCTCCGCCCCGATTGCCATGTTGGCGTCAGAAGTCCCGCCCCCTAGCCCCTGACCTTTGGCACCATACCTCCTTCCCCTTGCTCAAGAAATACTCCTTTCTGGGAGGGGGGGTTGCCGTGTTGGAACCAGAAAAAAATGAAATCATACCCTAAAAGTCAAACACCTTCTAGAACGTGTTTTAATTTTATTACAAAAAAGATTTTTGTCATGGGCGGGGTGCAATTTGTTGGTGGGTGCCGCGGGCCAGATGAAAGTGCCTGGCTGGCTGGATCCAGTCCACGGGCCATATTTTGGCCGTCCCTGCTTTAGCCTGCTCTAATTGGCACTGGTTTGGTGCACAGCCAGCCCCAGATAGAGAGTGCGATGTTGGCATTCGTGGCCACGCCTGGGGATCTGGACCCGAATGTCAGAATAGGGTGTGATTTTTACCATCTTGAGCAAGCTGGCAGTTTTTTCCAGCTGTTAGACATCACCTGGCTGTTTCGTGTCTCTGATAAAACCCATGGATAGAGACCAGGAGGGGCCTCACTTCCCTGCCTGCGGGATTTTTGTTAATAAAATGCAGTGATCTCTTGCTCTGTCCATGCTTCAGCCAAGAGCAGAGGTATTATCGACTAGGAGGAAGGGAAAGGTGTCTCTGAATCTGGGGGACAGATTCAATCCATAAAATAAATAAATACCTTTTTGCATCAGCTTGATGCTCTAAGAGCCTGTGACCCTGTCTGCATCCCGCAACTTCCGTTTTCCGTCCAGCTGCAGATGTGAAGCCCGGGCTTTCTGCTGCTTCATGCTTTCCACACAAGGCGTCTTTTATTTAAAACCATTTTTGATGTCCGCCTGCCTTTGAACTGCTCCTATTTTTAACGGGGGTCTGGAGGAGTGGTGCTAATGGCTGCTGTAACTGCTGTGGTGTGGCAAATACATGGGCAGTTTTGCCTCTGGAGATGGGTCGCTGGACTTTTGGAGGGTTGTTTTTTTAGCAATAAGCTGCTGTGCCCCTGTGTGCAGGCTCTGACGTGTCCTGCAGTGTGATGCTGGGGTTGTGGCAGGATTTAAATAGCAACGTTCAATCGGCATGCTCCCATTTGTCGGCCGGGAGTCATGTGTGTCGCTGCCCGACTGCTGTTGTAGGAGGAATGCTGGATTTCCAGATTCACGCGGGGTGTGGGCAAAGGTTTCTTTCCTCGGGAACGATGCAAGGACACTGCTCTGCTCCTCTCCTCGAGCGGGAGACCCCCAGGTAAGGATGTCTCAGCTGATAGCAGATTTTAAACTGACCTACTATGTTGGCTTGAAAACACTGGTAGCAGTGTATAAATTTTGAGCATGCCCTGTCGATACCTGTCTTTTTTTTTTTTATTGACTTGTTTTTCTCTGATGCTTTTTGATATGCAAAGAAAATAACTGTAGTTCAGCTGAATCAAAGAAAAGCCTCTAATAAATGTCTCTGTGAGCTAGAATTAATCAAATATTAACTCTGCGTGCTAGCTGTGCCTCTCGTGTGGAGTGCTTTTATGCGGCTGTTGAAATGGGAAAACAGAGGCATTTTTGAGCTCTTTAAACTCGCCGGAGCGCGGTGTTTTCCTCCGCGGCTCTGTTGAATGCACACGTCTCTCAGGCTCGTTCGCTGGCATGACTGGCTGATCACATTAACCGGTGAGCGCTTCTAGCTGTTGCCCCACGCGCTGCAAGGAAATGTCTCTGAAAAGTTATAGGAGAGTATTGTCGACTCGGTGCAGAAAATAGAAACTGCACCTCCTCGATCTTAGTGAAGGCTTGCCGGCACCCTGTGCTACAGCCAGCATCGAGCTTCACAGACCGGGACTGATGTCTGAGCTGAAGTACGCTGATCTTCCTTAATTTTCCTGGGGAAAGGTATCCCTGTGACTAACACCGAAACCATATAATATTACTACGTAAACAGGAGCCTTCCCTTTGATGAATGCACTTTCAGCACTCGAGTGAAGTGCCTTCATGTTTATGCAGAACAGCAGAAACTTGGACACTTAGAAAGTGCTTTTTCACTAGAATATATGAGCTGTGGGTATACCTAACACGGAGGCTTGCAACCTTTTTTGGCCTCTGGCACCCCTCGCAAAGTGCCAGCTTGCACCGCAGCTGGGCAGTGCTTTGAACACCATGCATTCCTATTTGCAGGCTCTGGGTTTACCCCGTGCTAAGGTTGTGTGGCACCCTTGAAGGGCTCTCGGGGCACCTTGCTGCAGCACCTGGGTTGAGAATCACCCTCCTAATAGGAAGCAATCGCTTATTGACCAGGGTGCCACGTTCTCTCATTTAGAGTGAAACTGGTTTCAGTCTGGAATCCGCACATTTTTTGCTTTAAAACTAAAAATGTTGCTGACTGGGAGTTGAATCCAGGCAAATTCAGATGAGACACAATACACTTTTTCAGCGCAAGTGATGAATGACTCTACATGCTGACGCGGTTCTGTGTTGGCAGAAACCACTAAATGAATAGTGGAGTTAAAACGCATCTTTGGGGCTCCAGGCAGAAGTGGGGGATGCGATCTGAGCGTTGGGCGAACTTCTCTGGACTGTGCAATGCAACAGCTCCAACCAGGTTGATTGCAACGGCGCCTACGGGCCTTGAACTTTAATGCTTCTTTTACAGTGCAAATCCCACGGGTTCACATTTATATCTGTCTTCAGTTTGGGGCACGGCAGCAGAGCCCTGTTGGCAGTGTTACCTTTTGGTCCATGCCTCCCCCCCTTGGTAAGTGATTTGCTGTAGGAAGGACAGTGGGATCTCCTTGCTGTCCGCAGAGAAGTTATTTTCCCATTGCAAACTTTAAAAGTTATTTGTGGTCTTCGGGGAAGGAAAGGCCAGCAGCTTTTCCGCCATTGGCTTTTCCAATCTGCTTCCAGGGAAGATGCAATCTCCTTACTTAAATCTCTCCTCCAATAAAATAACAGCAATGTGCTTGTGATTATTTATTTTTTCCACCAAATGCCATTGAGAGGACTCCAGAGCACTGGACTTTTTACAAGACTGCTTGCCACGGCACTTAAATACTGCTCAAGAAGTTGGTCTTCTTTTCAGCACATTGTTTTTTCTGAAGCAGCAGCTCTCTGTCTCCCGCGGGATGGGGAGAAGACTGAACAGTATGGAGGTTGTCTTCCCCCATCTTCCCCTCGCATCAAATCCCTTCTTATTTCTAACTCCTTCCTAGCAGGCAGACTGTGATGTGAAATTTCTTGGCTTAAACTTTTGAAACCACAGGTAAGCTGGTCATGTGAACAGCCTCTTCGCTTTCAAGTGCCTCGCGTGGCGCTCAAGAATGTGTTTGGCATCCCGCTTCTGTACCAACCTGTTTGTAATCTGGATAATGGGTACAAGCCACTGATATGATCTTCTCATTCCTGGCTCTGTTTTGAAGCCTCCTCCTGTTTCTTCTCAGGCTGATAAGAGGCTGTTTGTGAAAAGTGTGGAGAGAGAGAGAGGGGGAGAAAGAGGTTACACAAGAGGAGAAACGTCTCGTCTGGGTTACGGCTCAGGAATGCAGTGACAATGGGTTCGGACTTGAACGAGCGTGTTTTTGGGGCTTGTGCAAGTGATCTCACTTCTGCATCCCTCTGCTGAAGACTCGGAAGTTGAGACTGCAGCATGTCCCGCAGAGCAAAACGTCTCTCGCTCAGAGCCGACGTGCTTGGGCGCGTCTAATGGTCAGAGGATGTGGTCGCTTGTGAGACGTCCAGGTAGTGCCAGGCTGGCAGAGTTTCAGGGACGGGCATGTGGGAGAAGAAGACGGGGACCAGGTAGGAGAGGGCTGGGACTTGTCTGGCCCTAATCTCAGTGGATGTGGACCTTTTGCCCTGGTGATCGCCAGTTCAGTCCCCAGTGTTGGGGTCATTATGTGGAGCCCCCAGAAGCGGGTGCTAGGGTGGCCATGTTCAGATGCTAGCATCCTCGTGCCTTCGTGGAGATGGATTTCCCTCTAGAGCGGTGGCCTCCAACCTTTTGAAGGTAAAGGTCACTTTTTGAAGTAAAGGGCGACCCAGAGATCTACCCAAGATCTCTGATTTTAGCTGGTCCCGTCCCCCTCCGCCACCGGCAGAGCTGCAGCATGAATCCCCGAGGAGCTGCTCTGCTCAAATATGGAGCGATGTGATACCCCACCGGGCACGCAGGCCTCTTCCAAGGGAGTCGTGGGGATCTCTGGCAATAATTGAAGCATCTTTTGCAGTGCAGTGGGGCCTGTTCCTGAATGCTTTGTGACATGGCACAGCCGGGGCTGGCAACATGATTGTCCCTGCAGCTCTGGACTGGCACTGTATGCATTTACAGAGACCAAGAGGAAGAATCAAAGCCTCCACGGCTGCATTTCACCCCGAGGGACGGCTCTGTTCCCCAGCAGCGAATGATGTTCAATGTGCACGGGCTCTGGTGATTAGGTGCCCAACGCCTGGTGCTTAGGGTGGGACCTAAGTGACCTCCGTACCTTCAAGGATCTGGGCTGAGACCTGGAGACGGTGTTACTGCCTGGTGTGGCGTGGTTGGTGGGTCCTTCCCCTCGTTAGGGTGGGGGTAGAGATGGGCAGGGGGCACAGCTGGTGTGAGGTGGGTGGGAAGAAGTGATGCCACGCGGTTACAAGCATCTTTTCCACCCTTGTCCTCTCCTTCCCGCATGCTGGGGAAGCCGTATGGCTCCACCGCCGCCATTTGCAGGGCAGGAGCCCCTTTCTCGTGCTCCAAGCAGCACGTTGGGGTTCGATCTGTCACGTGCTCCGACTGCCCTCTGCTTTCCTGGCAGAGGGATAGATGCCAGGGCACTACTGATCACCCCCGCAGCAACCGTGATGGCTTTTAGCACGGCTGTCCTGACCGCTCGGGAGCAGTCCAGCGAGGCTGCGAGGATGGAGCTAAGTGCGTGGCTTTGTTCCCATCAGTCCTGGTGCTTTTAACCTGCTTTGTCTCTCCAGATGGGATTTCCTGCCAGCTTGCTCATGTGCAATGTCTGTGGCTGACAGCTCTGGGGCGGTGCCCTGCCCGGAGCCAAGCGCATCGATGGCATAATGCATGAGCGAGGCAGGCCGTGGGGAGCTCTGTCTGCAGAGATGGCTTAGGCCAGTCCATCCCTGCCTTCAGCAAGCACCCACGCACATTTGCTTCCCTCCCCAGAGCCAGAGAGAGATCTGGATTCAAGTGGCTGCTCAGGCACTTCCAGGGTTAGGATTGCAAAGCGGCTGAGTTTTCCGTAGAAGACCCAGGTTGCTTTCTCCACACACCCCTGTGACTTCTTGGTTTGTCACAGCCCCAAGCAGCATCTTTCTTCTTGGAGGGGCCTGAGCAGGCAGCCGTCGTTCTGCTGCAAAATCCCCCTTCGAAAGCTGCTGGGGATGAAGTGAGCTCCAGCGTGGGCGGCGAAGATCTTGGGAGACTTTGCCCTGCCAATGTGTCTCTGACTCCAAAAGGTATCTTGACTAATGAGCTTGACAGACTATTCCCCCCCAAATATTGGGAGTTTTTATGCCAAAGACCTCAAGGACTGCCTCTGCCTCTCTCGGTGCAACTTTGCCATGCGCTAGCCCTGGAAACCTTTGCGTGCTTAGTGATGGCTGGTGTCAATGCCCTCTGTTTGGGTGGGACTTCTCATTAGGGGTGTGATTTGATTAGTCTTTGCATGCTTCCCCTTCTGCCTTGAACTGGTTTCTTTGGGCAGCCTCCGAGTGCCACATCTGCAGAGCGCATCTGCATATAGACATGGGACTTCTCTTTTATATCTGGGATGTACCCGCATTGCAAGAAACAGGAGAACTGGGGGGTCAGTTAGGCACAAAAGGTGCTTTTTCCTAAAAGTTGTGTGTTGGGCAGCTTGAAAGTTGTCATTGTGATTTAAATCGGAGTTCTTCCCTGCAGGGTCTGAGCCCTGGATTGAAAACAGCAAATGTCAAAGTGGTGAAATTACTTGTGTCCGCAGGATCTTGCTTCCCCGTGACCATGCTCCAAGCAGAGCCGGCTCCTGCGGGGCTGGGAGTGCCGAAGCATGTGGGTGCTTGCTGCCATCTGGGCACCGGACGCAGGGTTGGGGGCAAAGGCAGCCAGGTCATCAGGCACTTGTCCCTCTCTTGCACGTAATTTTCGTGCTGTTTTGGAAAAAACATCTTGGAAGCATAAGGCTTCCCCAGCCTGGCGAATGGCTGTGCCTTTCTGGGAGCACAAGCAACTTCAGGGCGTCTGGTTGTTTTCATAATTAGGAGCAAATGACACAACTTCTCTTGTGATCGGGACGTTGGGATTGTATGCATCTGCCAGCAATCCTCGCACCTCCATAGGGCAGCTTTGATGGCTAAAATCTGGCCCGAAGGTGGGACTCTCCGCTGCAGTGGCCTGTCCCCCTGGCTGGTGGCTGTCCCTGGGGAAGCTGGAGAGTTGCTTTTCCTTCCTTCCCAGGAAGTCTGGCTGCCCGCAGCCCGGCTGGCACCGGAGGAGCTGTGCCCCCCGCACGGGAGGAATTCGGTAAACAACGCTGACTTCTCTGGCATCCACGTGGCGTGCGGGAGAGCACCGCTCACTTAATAGGCTTTTTAATGCTGGCAGGGGCTCCCCTGAACTCCCCTTCCTGATGCTTTCTACCTGTGGTCGTGATCTTAGCATCCATTAGAGTCTCGCAGGCGTGTGCAGCCTCTTCCCTGAGGACAGGACAGAAGATGACGGTGAGAAAACCCCGCGGCAGCCTCCTGCAGTGCATCAAGACAGAGGAGTTTTGCTAGTAATTGAAGTGCACAGCTGCCCTTTGCCCCCGGGGGGGTTTTTGAGTGGGGCATTTGACCTCCAGCCAGAACTGGGCTGGTGCATTTGCCATCAGATGCATTGGAGATGAGGCACTGCAATGCACTCGGGCCTGGGATGAGAGACCCCCAGCGATGCATTGCATTTCCTTGGAGAAGCCCTCTTGGCTAGCTGGCCAGGCTGGCACTGCTGCACTTGCATAGCTGGGCCAGGGCTAGACGAGACTAACCATCTGGTATCCACTGCCAGGAGTGAAGGGAGCCTTTCCTCCACCTTCCTAGGGAAGAGAAGGTTGACACTTGGCAGCAGCCAGGTGGCTTTCCAGGCCTGCCCTTTGGCCGACTGGCTCGGCCGGAGGGTTGTGCAAGTGGCTGGCTGTCCGGCCAGAGAAACATCTGCTGGGTCCAAAGCGCCCTTCGCTTCATGCTTCCCTGGCTCGTTTCTTCTGCAGCCTGCGGAGACGGTACAAAACCACAGGTCTGCTCAGAAGTGAAATATGTGCTGCAAGTGAGTCACCGTTCCCGGATGAGCCTGGTTTAATGGGATGAAAAAAGGGCATATCAATACCTTGCTGCTGGTGTACGTGCTCCGATCCTGTCTCTGTGTGAGAGACGCTGTTTCTGAGAGGCGGTGAGGAGACTGGGTTGGGAGGGCTGGGGTTGCGTGGGGTTTTCGACTCCTCTACAGAGGCAATTTGCCCCTGGACCGAAGGCGAATGCCAGCTCTGTTTTTGTTGGGAGCATTTAGGACCGGCTGGTAGGAAGTTGAGAGGGACTTTTAATCCTCCGACATTTAAGAGGTGCAAGCACATTTTGAATGCTGCATAACTCTTTAACCTCTGATATAAGCTCTGGAGAAGCAACACAAGTGGGGCTTGTACCCCTGTGGCCGGTGGAGTCGGGCCTGCGGCTGCTGGCTTTGCACAGACCTGCATGGGGCCGAGTGGCTCATGGAGCAGGTCTGGCGGGCACCTCCTGCATCACAACTGGTTCTCCGGGGAGGAGCTGCTCTGCTTGTGGTTAATGCACGTGGGAGGAGGACTCCAGCCTTGCTGCTTGGGTCAGGTGGAAAAGCGCCAGCGCATGGTACCTGCTGCCGTTGCTTCCCTTTCTCTGCACAGGCCGTGCATTTCTGAGCTCACCTCTGCTTCAGGTCTCGTGAGCATCCTCCCAAGCGGCAGCGATGCTCCTCGCCTTTCTTTATGGACCAGAGACCGTCCCTGCCTCAACTTTGGCAGTCTTTGGGCATCTCTCCCATCACCCCCATAGGCTGCAGGGAGCCCCCTTCCCTCTGCACACTCGCCCTCGGCCCTTCAGGGAAGTTGGGGACAGTGGCAGGACCGATCTGCCGTGCCACACAAGCTAGGGTTTTTCAAGGGAAGTCGAGGAAACCTCCTGCCCCGTCCTCCACCTCAAAGGACTTTGACCCTAGCAGGGCAGGAAAACCTCCTGTTGGCCTGCGTCCGAGGGCTCCTGCCTGTCCTACGGTGCTGGTGGGGACCTGTTGCTCTGCAGTTGGAAAGAAAAGTGCTGTCCTGTGAATGAATAGTGCAGAGAAAAGGTCCTTTTGCAAGGTGGGGAGGGGCCGAAGAGCAAGCTGGACTGGTCGGAGGCCATGGAGCCGCCGCGATGTAAACACACCAGGATGACTTGACCTGGGGTCAGAGGATCCCGGTGGTCCGGAGTGAAACCAGGCAGAGGGGGTCTGTCTCCCACCTCTTGCAAGCGGCATCACCGGAGGGCTCCCCATTGCAGACGAGCCCGGCTGTCGCAGCGTGCAATCAGCGGCGTGTTTTAAAAGCTCTTTTGGAGCAGCGCCGGGTGGCTCACAGCTGTTGGTCCCAAACCCAGGGCACCTCTGTCTCGACCCCACTGTCCTGGGCCCGCCTGGCAGATGCAGCAACTGATCCAGCGCCTGTGACAGGCTCTGGCATCTGGGGAGGATTTGTTTATACAGGGTTTTGACCCAGGGGAGCGCGCCGGCATGGAGCAGAAACGGGAAAGGCACTTAAAGCCAGCCTCCTCTGCGGTAGGAAATGGCAGCGTCTCGGCGGAGGATGCATTTGCCCTCCAGCTGCTCGTGGGGCACCGGGAGGGGAGCAGGGCTCTGGGTCTGTTTGCAATGTGGGGAGAAACCGCTCTCTCTCGTGCTTCATGTTGCAGATGAAGCCTCACTCATGGTGTCTTTCGTTTCTCCCTGCAGATCCTAAAACAGCACTGAGGCACCAGCGGATCCGGCCACAACCTGCTCTGCTCTGCACTGCACGGCCTGCCTGATACCAAAAGCAGCATAAGTGAGCCCTGCAGGTAAGGGCAGCGTGGTAATCTGGGGAAGGAGGGCATGCCTGGGTGTGCATAGCCAGGGACAAGTGTGCAAGCAGACGGGGGGCTCTGGAGACCAGGCCTTTGTGGTGCGGCCCTTGTGTGCCCAATGCCCTGGGCTGGACCCGGCTTGCGAGGTGAAACGCAGCTTGGGTTTGACACCTGGCCTGGACAGTTCGTCAAACGAGGGGTATTCAAACCTGCTGCAGCTTGGATGGGCTCTTTGGTCCCATCCGGCAACCCTAGCTCTGCTCTGGCCCTGGTTTCATTGAAGTCCAGTGCCCCTGCCTGAAGTCGCAGCTGGACGAGGGTGAAAGTCTCCTGCCATCTGATCCTGAACATGTAAACCGGACCCCATCTCCAAGGGCCCTGCCAGGGGTGAAGCTGCTGGGCTTGCTAGTTAAACCTTCATCCGTCCCCATGCATTATGCCTGAAACACCTGCTCCTCCCCAAAGATGCAGTGGGATCTTTGCGAATGACTCCGGACTCCCATCGTCTTTGCAGCACAGCGGGAGTGAGCTGTCATGCACCCTGGGGAGAAGCCCCTTGGGCAGGGCGAGCAAGGCAGGACGGCTCTCTCCTTTCCTTTCTGGGGTTTCTGCATGAAGTCTGTAGGTTGCTTGGTGGAAACAAGCCCCCTGGGGTACATCTCCCCCGGGATACAGCAGCTAGAGGTGCTTGGGATCATGTCAGCCACTCAGCCTGCCTGTGAACGCACCTTTCTGTCCACCGCAGACATTGCTGATGTGATCTTTTGTTGGGCTTTTCCCAGAAGCTAGTTTTCCCCAAATCAGATTGTTGTAGGAAAAGGAGACTCCTAAATAACCTTGCCAGAAAACATGGGGATCCCCAAATAGGCCTGTTTACCACTCCTCCAACACCTCCAAGCACAACAGATGTGAAAAGCAGTGATCTGCGTGCGGTAAAAGGCGCATGCAATGACAGGTTTGCAGCACGATGCTACATGTGCATTCCTTCCCAGCTGTGTTCAGCATCTGGTTTCTTAATGATAAAAATAATGGCAGGAGCCACAGTGATCTTTTGGGCTTGGAGCTTGGAAGTGTCCTGCCTGCTGTTATTTGCAGGGTCACTGTTCGAATCAAGCGCATGTGACTAAAACGGGGTTTCACGGTGCTTCTTTTCCGGTTGCAGGTACTCACTGAATACATGAGATGGCCAACACTATGCAGATCTCCAAAGATGAGCTGGAGGAGCTCAAGGAAGCCTTTGCCAAAGTTGGTAAGCAAATGGGCTGGCAGGTGATGAATGTTGTTAGTTTTCTGACCTCCTGGGCCAGCTTGGTGGTGATGGTCTTATAGGGTGGGACAGTAGTGGGGCCTGGCCAGCATCTGGCGGAAAGCCCATGGCCATGTGGCTGCTGTTCCTGTGTGCAGGTGTCTTCTGGATGCATTTGCCCCAATGACTTACCCCCTTTATGGGTTGGGGTATCCCACAGAGACAGGGAGAAGGACTTAGGAGGTCTGCTTACTGGCCCGTGGAAACGGTGGCAACCAGGAGGGGTATCTCCATCTCATGGCTTTTGCTGTGCTCTTGCTACTCTTTGTTTGAGGCCTTCCTTATGTCGTGAGCTCTGGCCTGCAGCCACCAAAATTGCTACCTGGACTGTGGAAAGGAGCTGTGTTGTTAGATGGATTAAACCTCCTGTCCAGATCTGCGCCTGGCGGGCTGGCAACTGCAAACGGACCTCGCACGTTGTGCCTTGGTGATCACTTGTGTGGCGCACCCCGGTGCAGCACTAGCTTAACACGAAAATCCTAACTTAATTTCATGACTAGCAGGTGCGAAGTTCAGTTCGTAATGCAAGAGTAGCTGAAGACTGGGAAATCTCAGCCAAACCCAGTAGCTGTCAGCTCACTGATGGCTCCGGAGATCACCGCTGCAAACGCCATGCGCTTTCTTTAAATAATTGCAATGTGAATAACAGCGGTACCTGCCTTTATTAGTAGAGTCCCTGCTTTCATTGTATTAGCTGTCTGGCATTCATATTACTTGATGGCCCACAGCGTCTAACCCTGGAAAGCCGTGAAGCTATCAGACACTGCTTTCCTGATAACAGGATTTTAATGGGTCACTACTTGGTGGTTCTTCTGGGAACCTTTTTGCCTTTTCTTTAACCAGCATAAAGGACCATCAAGCTTAAAGTGGCCTTTAACGAGGTCTCCTTCCTACCTGGGAGGATCAGCGGTGTGTGTGAGGATCAGCGGTGTGGAAAAGGCAGTGTCATTAAGCATAATCCAGGCCCTTGTGCTTTTAGGATGCTGGTGTGGAGATCGCCTGGGAGTGTTTCCTACCATGATTGACATCAAACCGTGCTGCTTTTATTAGTGTCCAGGCTGTGCATTGAAACTAGAGCATGTCCAAGAGCTATTTTAACCATGGCATCTAGCAAATTGCTGTTCCGGTTCGGTGGACAGTGCTGGAGAGCATATCCTGGGGTGGGGGGGGGGAAATCAAGCTGAAGGATTTCTGCAATGCTTTGTCCTTAACTCCTCTATGCAGTGCTGAAGGCACTGTTTCCTTCCTTTTCGGCCTTTCTGTGCTGTGAAAGCTGGGTGTGACTTTCATGCAGGCATCTCCCCTTTGCAAGTCTCAGCCTTTCATTGCTCCCTCCCGTGGTAGAAACAGCAGGCGTGTTCTCCCCGGCCCCAGATTCACCACCCGTAGATGTCCTTGCCGTAGAGACACCGGGCAGGAAGCTAACCCCTGCAGGGAGCTCTCCCAGACCTGGGTAGGTGATGTGGGTACGAGGGAAGGGATGTTCCTGAGCCTGGCCCGGTGCATGGAGCAAACCTGGGCCGTGGACAGACAAAACAGTCGGATGCCTTCTGTGGAGGCGGTCGGCACACTTTGCTCGCTGCAGCCCCGCAGGGAAGGCAGTAGGAACCAGCAGAGAGGTCGCAAGCGTGGGCTTGTCTGGAGTACAAACCGACCGGAGGCGTCTGCAGAAGAAGCTGGCACCCATCTCCAGACAGACGCGTGCTGAAGGGCACGGGCGGTAAGGAGGGAGCAGGTTTTGCTCGCCGGTCCCTTCAATGTTGCATGCACGCCTCCTCCCGTGGCCCCCCACAAACCGTGCATACGGCCCTTGTGCCCCTACCCGCGCAGGCCAGGAAGGAGGACTCTCGAGGTTGCCAGCTGCCCCGACAGGCTTGCGAGTGGTGCATGGTGGGTCTTGGCACGGGCTGCCCAGCTCAAGTATGAGCAGAGCTTCTTGGAAACCTTGCTCAGAGCCACCTCTTCCTCCTTCGAAACCTGGGAACCTGCTCGGCCTGTTTCCTCGGCCTCGGCAGCTAGCTGTTTCCACTGGAGCTCAGCGCAGTGTTTATTTGACTCCTTTGCCAAAACAATAGCCGCCCTGAATGTTAACTCCCAGCAAAGTGGGATGCTGCTGGAGTTTTGCCCCAAGAGTGCATATCCTTAAATGGAAACGCGTGGGCTCTTCCCCCCACCCTTGCATCCTGTTATTTAAGCTATTTTAAGTACTTATCTGGCTCCGCTTCCTCCAGACCTACTGTGGCTTTGATTTTTTTTGATTTTTTTTTCTTCCTTTTTTGCTCCCTGTGGATTTGTTGCGCGACTTGCATCTGGGCAGAGGATGGTGCTGCCTGTGTCTTGTGGCAGGTCCAGCGGGCTGGCGTGTGCACATCTTTTGGGACAAATAGGAATCTTTTTGCCAGTTACGCAGTCTGCTGTTTGCCTGGTAAAATGGTTTCGTGCTTGTGCCCGTTAGCGGCTCTGGCTCTTCCTGTGCTCAGGCATTTGTTTTGGGCAGGGGTTCGATCACTGGCCGTTTCATTATTTCACTTCACCCGCAACCTAGTTGCATAACCTCCTGATTTAAGTCAGGGAGGCAGTGGGTAACAATGGTGAATAGGATTTGCCAGGCTGAGCTAAGGACCAAGATGAATGTCCTAGAGTCCTATGTGCTGCCATCGTGACAAATGCCCAGTGTCTAGAAACGGCATCGAGCCAGTAAAGGATGCTCTACGCGCTACCTCCTGGATGAGCCTGTGCCAAGCCTGCCTTGGGCATGCAGCATGGGGAGCCGGCAGCACGGCTAGCTGGCCGACAGGCTTGCACTGTCCTGGGGGCTGCCAGGGGGTTGTTGCTGATGCTGCAAGGATCTTTGGGACTTTCAAGGAGACTCAGGTCTCTGGCCCCTGTTAGACTGGGTGCGTCCAAGCCCCGGCTCAGCAGAGGTGCAGGTTGCCCACCAGCCAGGCAGTTGGAGACCAGCCGTGCCGTTTGGTATACCTGCTGCACGTCCTGCGTTGCGTCCCCCTTCACAGCTGGCTGCCCCCTTCTGCCATTCCCTCCCCTCGTCCTCCCCGACGAGACGAACGTCACTGTAGGTAAATATGACCCTTCAGAGACTTTGCAAGACGCCAACGTGGGTGTGTGAGCAGTAGAGTCGGGACCTGGAGAAATAAGGCATGAGGGCTTTTTCCTGAGAAGAGAAGTTGATGCAGCTTATTAAGGGTTGCTTTGGACATCTGTGCTGCTTCTCCATGTGGTACAGATGCACTCACTTGCTAACCGGCCTTTTCTGTGTTTCAGACGCATCTCACGGGTGTTTTCTCACTCTTTGTGCAGCATTTGCAGCGACTGAAATAGTATCAGGATGCTTTTAGGCCTTGGCCTGACCCACATTTAAAACTCTGCAGATTCTGGGGCAGCAGATCCATTGGGCTTTAATACTTAAATCTACCATTCTTGCTAAGGAGTTAAAACCTGAAATGCAAGCTGCTTTGTGTAACGAGTTGTGGGGTCTCACGGCAGATCTATCCGGCTTGTCCACCTGGATTTCAAAGCAGCTGTGGTATTGCTTTTAAAGACCAGTGGCAACCCCAGGGCAGCTTTTCTTTTCTTTTCCCCTAGGATTTTGATCTCCTGAGTAAACTCGTGCTTGCAGGAGTTGGCAGCCGGTTGCTGCCAAGTGGCACAACGAGACTCAAACTGCAGCCGAGCTGGTATAAGATTTAAGTCAATCTGACATGAGCAAAAGGGGTCTTCCAAATAGCAGCTTCTCATGGCCTGCAGCACGCTTCATACTTGGAAGGCCGGAGAGCATGGGACCAAGACCATATCCCACTTCCAGAAGTGCCTGACTGATTTGGAAACCAAAGTGCTGCTTAAAAATCAATGGGACCATGGGCTCTGAAATGTCCTGCTGACCTTGGACAATGGGACTTTAGGTCCAAAAGGACTTGACCTTTGGGATTAAACAGCGCTTGTGCCTTGTCTGCAGATTCAGCTCGAATGCTGGAGTAGCCGTGCCATGGCGAGAGCTGCGGCATTGCAAAAGCCCATGTGATGAATGTCCTCGCTTACATGTTGCAATGCCTTTCCCGGGTAGTTTTCTGTGCCGCCATGCTGCTCGGGCTCTAAGGCAGGGATCGGGTGATGGTGGGACACCGGAGGACCGCTCTGGTGGTGTATCTTGCGCTGTCCTTGTGAAGTGGGCAGGGACAAGCGGAGCCCGCAGTCCAGCCCAAGCAGCCCGGCGGGCTAGAGGCACGGGTGGGTGAGACGCTTGTGGGGAACCTGAGCGAGCTCTCCCATGCAAATCACCCGTCACATCTGCGCAGCCTGGGTGGAAGCACTATGCAAATAATCCAGTACAAGGCATCTGGCCGTGGTCAGTCTGGTTATCTGCTGGGTGTTGCCTTGTGCCATGCATACTTGGTCTGTGAGCTGGTGCCTGGGCTGGCTTGTGGGGTATCTGCCCAGTTCAGTGTTAACTGATCTTCAGGGGTATGTCACTGCTTCTAGTAACTCAGATGGCTCTGCAGCCCGTCCCAACTTGCTACGGGTTGCCCTGAGCTCCTTTTGCCGCATTGAGGTGCTAAAAGTGACTTTCAAGGTCTTGTGGTGATATATATATTTGTAGATATTTATATACATATTTTTTTGGTGCTACCATGGTTCTGAAATACAAGAAGGTCCCAAATCTCCCCATGTCCTCGTCTGAGATGAAAACGAATGATGCTTCCCAGTGTAACAAGCTTTTGTAGAGGGGAAGAGGAGTGCAGCGGGTGAGTCTGGGAGAAACAGATTCTTGCAGAAGGCAGGGTAGATTTGCACCTTAGAGGCTGATTAAATTAGACATCTAGCCCAAGCTTTTGTAAGCTAAAGCTCATTTCATCCGATGCTTTGAAAGGATGTGCACAGATCAGTGCATAAAATAGAGTCCAAAACTACTCCCTGCCCATGCAAGGTCCATCTCTTCCTTTTGAGAGCACCTGCAACGGTGTGGGAAGTAGCTCATGCAGATTAGACAGGGCGTCAAGCGAGCATGGGAATACACTCGCCAAAACATCTTGGGGTCGGACTTTGCATCTCCAAGTGCAAAGCGAAGGCTGCGGATGCTCCCTGGGTGCTGCATCCCCTTTTGGGAGGAGTTGCTGGGCATCCTGAGGAGGGCTGGGCTGGGCTGGGGTTGGGTGGCCAGCGGGCACATTCCCCTGCGCGCCGTGGGATGGAAAGGCAGAGCAGCTGGCCAGCCGGGAGGGCTCGATGGGCTCAGGAAAGAGTCCAGAATTGGGGACTTTGGCACTAAAACTTCCTTGGCACATTCCAACTGGCTTCCCGTCATATGAAATCCCATCCTTGGCCTCTCCCCTGACGCTGCCGAATAAACACAGATGTGCTATAGAGCAAATCCTTCTCTGGAAACTTTAAAAAAAAAAAATATTCACATGAAAGATGTTGGGAGGAGCAGAAATGCTGGAGGAATGGAAAGAAAAATCAGCCTTGTATGTCTCCCCTGGATAACGGGCATGCGCAGAGCTGCAAGCAGCCAGCTTTTGGTGTTTTTGGAAATAGCACGGAGTCACAATTTGGACTTACAGACATCAGCGTTCCTGAGCCTGCCGGACTTGGCAGTAGGGCAGAGGAGACGAGGGGGTTACATGCACCCAGACTCGAGACTGGCCACCAGCTTGCAGACATTTGGGGTGAAACTCGAGCTCTGCCTAAGACCTCCCACCCTTCGCTTGCATTTTCTTTAGATTTGGGCCGTGAAGGGCTAAGCGTGAAGGAGGTAGTCTAGGCAATGAGAAACCCATAATGAAAGAAAGTGAGATTTATCTGCAAGGGAAATAGCTTGCTGATGACATCTTGGGCTGGAGTGTTTCATAAAGCCTGCTTTGTAAGCTTATATTTTTGGAAAGGAGCTCTAAAAGTGAAGGCCAGACAGCCGTTTTTCACCAAATAACTCATTGGCTGAGCCACACGATATTTCATCAGCATTACTGTAATTACTGCAGTTTGAGATGGGATTTCAGTGTCCTAGTAATTCATTGTGACATGATACTTTTTATAGTCTAACACTCAAGGCAGAACTTGGGAGGTTTGTTTGAAGGTGCCTTGGACTCCTGCCATGAATTGCTGCTTTTCCCTTTCTTGCAAACTTATGAAAATATCTTAGAAATCCCAGCTGGGTAGTCGAGCAGGTTTGGGGGTGAGAAGGGAGCGAGGGGTCCCTGTTGAAGCATTATACATGAAGAACGAACCACCCTCCAGTGCGGTGCTTTTGCTTTTCAGGAAATCAACTCTTACCTTTCCGTAAAGGACCAGGCAGTGGGAAGGATTTGAATGCACTGGTTGAAAGCAGCGTCTGCTCGGTCCACAAAGGCTGGCCTTGGTTTTATAAAAGCCGAATGTGCATTCAGCTGGTGGGGACTAGCATGGGGTGTCTGTGCCCTTGCGAGGAGCGCATGTCTGCTCTTCCTAGCTAGGGTAGGCAAGAGTCTCAAAAGAAAAGGCAAGGATGGTGTGCGTTCCTCTTCCAGGGTAGGAGCTTGCATCTCCATTGGCCCAGGTGGGGTCTGTCTGGCTGAGCCCAGGAGGAAGCTCGGGGCCCTGCAGTGAGGTGCGGGGGGCCATGAATCCAGTGGCCCAGCACGGGCACATCTGTACAGGCTGCAGGGAGGGAGACCTGGCCAGCCTCTCCCCTTCTCACCCCCTAATGAAAGCAGTCTCTGCATTAGAGACCTGTAGGATTTGGCAGATGTTTTTTCTATCCTAAACTCAGGGCCCTTTAATTATTTCAGAGACCATGACCAAGTGCCTCTCTAGGTGCAAGGAGGCTGGCTGAGAGCACTGGAGACCAGTGATGCCCAACTTTCTGGCCTTGCAGACTGGAGGAGTGGCTTGGGGTTGGTCCGCAGTCCTGATCCTGTGCACCAGGCACCCCTGCTGTAGACCGAAGCCCATCCTACCAACAGCCTCCGTGTCGGCACCAGTTACCCAGCTCCGATCCCCTGCCTGCCCCTGGGTTTCAACCCTCAGCTGGGCACGGCGAGTGGATCGTGTGGTATGCAGGGTGCCAGGTGTATGCATCCAAGGAAGAGGAGGAGACCCCTCTATTCCTGCTCTTGGGCAAAGTCGCTTCACATTGGGTAGCTGATGACTGTAGCCTCGTATAGCATGGGATAGCTTTCCTGGCCAGAGCCTTGTTCTTCCCAAACTGCAGCATCTCGTAGTCATGTTTTGTTAGCACCCGTGGGAGCTCTCTGAAGAGATACCGCACACCAAGAGGGGCAGCCTGCAAGTGGCATCCTTCTTTGTGCTGGTGGTGCAGAAATGCCTCCTTATAGGAGTACAGTCTGGTAGTCTGACGGAGGAGGCATTTTCCAGATTTAGCAAAACCTGGCTCCCTTAAACCCTTTGCCCCTACTCACTGGTACAGGCACATTTACAGCAAGCGTCTTGGTTGAATTCGAAACAGCAGCTCATCTGCTAACTTGAGCAGCCCTGGCCTGAACCGGTCTGCCAGGTGTTAGGGGTTGTGGGTTTGGGTCCAGGATACACGCGTGTCTCGGAGCCAGGGGATGCAGCTGTTATTCTGTGCAGATAAAGTGCAGATCTGGTTGCAAGGCCAGCCCGTAGTAAGCAGAAAACCTTGCCCAAGACTATCTGTATTTCAACCCAATATTAGGCATGCAGTGTTGCTGCCCCTAGTTAGCTGAGTGTTGCTTGTGGGCAATATTTAAAATAACAGGGAGTTATTTACTGTAGGTAATAGCCAGAAACATTGCTTTGATAAAAATGTGGCATGCAGGACTGATTGAAACATCCCTAGATTCACACATGTAAAGTGTGGTGTGTTGTTGCCTTCTGCTTTTAACGTGCCGGATATGTTACAGCGGGGAAATTAGATGTGAGGATCCTGTTAGATAAACCTTCCATAAAACCACAGGGATTTCTGCTCCAAAGTTTTACATGGAGCTTGCCCATGGGTGTTAAGAGCAATCCCATTCAACTCCCATTGGGCACGTCTACATATGCGTTAATGTGCTTTAGTTAATGCACATGAAATCTAGTAACTCTGGGTGTGTAAACACATACTAAATTTCTGACAGTTAAGCTGACTTAACTTTTTTAGGTCGACTTCGCTTGCATGTCTACGCTTTGACAGTTGAGCAGAGCTGACTTAAATGCAGCACAAGATAATACACCTCCAAGGTGTGCTAGCTGAGTTTCATAGTAGGTCGGGTCGGAAGGGACCTGAGCAGATCATCAAGTCCGACCCCCTGCCATGGCAGGAAAGAGTACTGGGGTCAAAAGACCCTGGCAAGGTGATTGTCAAGCCTTGTCTTAAAGACCCCCCAGGGTTGGAGCCAGCACCACTTCGCTTGGAAGTTGGTTCCAGATCCTAGCCGCCCTGACCGTGAAGTAGCACCTCCTGATGTCTAGTCTGAATCTCCCCTCTGCCAGCTTGTGACCGTTATTCGTGGTCACTCATGGCAGTGCTTGGGGGAACAGGGACGCCCCCAATGCCTGCTGGTCCCCTCTGACTAGTTTGTAACAGGCCACTAGATCCCCCCTAGCCTTCTCTTGTGGAGGCTGAACAGGTTCAGGTCCCATCGCCTCTCCTCGTAGGGCCTGCCCTGCTGCCCCTGACCATGCGAGTGGCCTCCTCTGGACCCTCTCGATGCTGTCCACATCCCTCCTGAAGTGCGGCACCCAGAACTGAATGCAGTACTCCAGCTGCGGCCTGACCAGTGCCGCACAGAGGGGGAGGATCACCTCCGTGCATTAGTTAAGTCAACTTAGCTCACAAGATAACTGCCACTATGTCAAGGAGGTGTACGTATGTATGCTCCAATGTGGCTTATTTTAGGTCACCTTAGTACATCCAACTCCATTGCATGGTACTAAAAAAAAATGCATATTCACTTGTCTTAATGCATATTAAATAAAGAGTGTGGTTTTCAAGTGATGTTTTAATGTGCATTGAAATAGGGTAATGCCCATTAAAGTGCATGTGTAAACGTGCCCAGTTTGAAGTTGCACTGTGGAAAGTTAGCCGTATTTGTGGTTCTCTGAAGGACTGGAGCATTGGTACCTGTGCTTGCTTGATGTACACTAGATCTTCACTAAGTTACTTGCTTTAAGTTCAAGCCTCTGAGCCCACTGTGTCACCCTTTCTCTCGTCTTGTCCTTCACATCACATATCAAGAAGATGTGACACAAACGGTGAACTGGTGCTGCCTGGCTCCGTTCAGCAGGCACATCATTTCACAGCTCCCTCAGTTTGACGCACGCTTCTGATGGGTCTTTCTGAACACAGGGTTCGGCCAGGCACGAGCTGAGTGCGTGCAACACAGTGAGCTGGAGCAGGGTATCCTCTGTTCCTCCGAGATCCTGCAAGATGCACAGATGCTACCAAACACATCGTGACATTTTTATTTTGCCACTGCTCTTGCCCGAATGCAACCCCATAGACCCAGCCCTGCGGTCTGGATCCACCCAGGGTGGGGTTTGACACCACTGGCCCAAGCTAAATCTGTTTGGATGCAGGTTGTGGGGGGTGCTTTGAGATAAGATGACCCATTTCACATGCTTTCTTCTCCTTGCATTGTGCAGATCTCAACAGCAATGGATTCATTTGCGACTACGAGCTGCACGAGCTCTTCAGGGAGGCCAACCTGCCCCTCCCGGGGTACAAAGTGAGAGAGATCATCCAGAAGCTCATGATTGACAGCGACAAGAACAAAGACGGGAAGATTAGCTTTGAAGAGTTCGTTTATGTAAGTACGGAGGGCTGCAAGGTTTTACATAAAAGAAAGGCTGCAAAGCATGCCTTGCCTGGAAACCCTCTCTCCTTGTTTCAGTCCTTTCTAAGATGATGCTTATCATTTCTGGTGTGGGAGGGAAGCTCGTTTTCTGCTGCCAAACCTTGCAGGCAGTGGCTGGACATCCATTAGAACCCACCAAGCATGTTGGATCCCCAAATGGCTGCTGATGGTATTGGGTCCAGGTGCTAGCTTTGTAGCTAGCAAAGTCCCGAGCCAACTCTTGGGCTGACTCAAGGTGATGTTTGCTTCTCCAGGATGGCAAAACAGCCAGAGAAAATTTCTTGCCTGGATAGCACATATGATTATTGGAGGCTCATCCTCTCCAGTTGTTGCCCATAAGGACCTGAGGGGGATTTTAAATTGCACAGATGCGAGTCTGGGATGTCCAGATCAGTAGATCCTCCTGCTCAAATAGGAGCAGACATGGAAGATGAAGCCTTTGACAAAAGGGCAAAAAGTCTGGTACATCCAGCATAGTCTTAGTGCCGTCCCTACAAGACTGGTGAGATGCTGCCTTTCGCCCTCTGTCTGCTCCGACGTACGGACGTTGTTCGAGCATGTCGTAAAGTAATACGTGCTGTGATGAGGAAGGTGTTTTCATGTGCAGCTTTTCTTGATATATCTTTTTTTTCTCTTAACTTAGCTTCACCTTTTTTGTTCCTCAGTTATTTTCAGCCTCTCTGAACTCTTGAGTTCGGAGCTGAATAGTAAGTTGGAGTTCGTTTGCAGTTTGTGAGCACTTGCATGTTGGGTGCATGTTTCAGCTCCGTCAGAACCGGTTCTTCATTCTAACTCGCACCAGGTCATAGTTTGAGAGTCATGTCGGCAATTAACGGGCTAGCAAGATGTTAAGATTGTCAGTTCATTAAATAAGCAGATGCTTCTTCTGTAGACGAAGTCTATGGGGCAGTGATTGAATCCAGCAATAATGCAGCTTAAACTTTGTATAACTAAAGTGTAGACAGCAGCACTGACCTTCCCCAGGTTGATTATCCTGGGACTAGAGGGGGAAACAAAGGCTTAAAAGTTGATCAAAATTGGGCCCTCATATAAGCGTGTTTTAGAGAGTTGACAAGGGGCCACTTGACTAGTCCAGCCAACAGGAAGCGCAATTGCATGCTTCCAAATGCATCATAGAAATACTCATGGTACAAGCTGCTGCTTTGAATCACTGTAAACTCTGGAGCCCATTTTCTTCGGTCCAGTTGTATGTGAGGTAGGACTATCTGGAAGGGTGCTGGGACAGAAGCAATGCTGCGGTGTGCTATGTGGAGCTGGTTCAATTCCCCTCGCCTTGTGGCTGTTTCATCCTGCTGGCTGGCCATGTCTCCTCTGCTAAACAGCCCAGGAAAGGAGTGGAGGACAGGGATGTAGAGCTAGCTGCTGGCTGTTGCCTCGACATTTCCTCATGGTGGAAGAGCTGGTCAGAGGAGGATGTGGATACCCCAGGAGGAAGGCAGGAGGCCAGTTCTACACATGCACTAACATGCTTTAGTTAATGCACATTAAATCTAGTAACTCTGGGTGTGTATAGCAGGATGTATGTAAGTAGGAGCACAGCCCGACTTTACCACCCCATCGATATCAAAGGACGCTGATACAGGATGCTGTGATGGGACCGTCGCATGTCCGTGCGCCTGTAGCAGCTGCTTCATCTGGGATCCAAGTTAAGGGGATGTGGCTTGTGTCTGGGAGCATGCAGATGTCACGGCAGCAGCTGCCCTTCTTTTTCAAGTGGCTAAAAGGTGCATGTGTCCATCCCCTGGTTCTGGAGGCTACCAGCCAGGGAAGGTGAGGGACACATCCTGGAGTGAGAGGAGTTTGTTTACATAAGGTCCAGTCCTGATGGCTTCTGCAAAGATGTTCTGCGCCCAGGGGTCTTCTCAAATTCCCGCGTTTGTCAAACTCTTTGCCTCATTTAGCTCACCCACAAAGGCAGCCATCACGGCTCAAACAGCGAGAACGGCAGCACAGAGCAACAGAAGTTAAATCGAAGCTTAAACCGTGGGCGGTTGGAATTGCAGACGAGACCGACTGGCCCCTTGCCCACCTGATTAATCTGTTGTGTCTATCTCGAAGCAGCAAGAAGTAGCCCTGGCAGGTGATATTTCAGAGTTAGGCAGTAAAAGACAAGCTGGCTAGACACATACAGCTAACGCAGCTGCTTCAGCTGGGACTTCTGGTCCCATGATGGCAGAAACCCAGAGCTGGATTTGCACACACGCGGTGGTGGGAGGTGTGGAAAGTCTTGCACATGTTCAGAGAGGAGTGAGCAGCAGGAGGAGATGGGGGAAAATAAGGCAAAGAAGCAGGGGAAAGGCTGTCCCTGCTCTCCATAGTCCTCCGTGGGGCTGTTGCTGGAGCGGACGGCTCTTTGGGTGCATTTGCAGGGATGATGAAGCTACTGAATGTTCGGAGCACCTTGGGGGTCTTTTTCCCATGCAAACCTCTCCTGGAGGGTCTGAGACTTGATGCAGATATTTGCTGTTCTTCCACGGGACGAGCAAATAGGACAATCAGGGGGAATTAGCAAGAGGAGGGCAGAATGGGCAGGGCTGGTTGTGGGGTGCGGAGAGAGCCTCTCGGCTGCAATATCGTTATTTCTGAAGTTTGAACGGTTTGCCGTGTTCATTCCTAACAGGCTGTTGAGCTCTCTAGGAATCTTTAATCCGCTCATAATGCATCCTTACCTGCAAAGAAAGTCCAGCATGACCTTTCTGCAAATGCCAGGGCAGCTTGGCAGGCCTGTCTGCTACACAAACGGTATCACGTGGTAGGTCGTCGGGTCTGCAGATCGTCTTGGAGACTTGATTCTTGTACACGTCCTCGTGCATTAAAGCAACCTGCTTTTGCGTTCTGCGAGACGTGGACCAAGTCCTCTCTGAACTAAAGCCACCTTCACCTTACACATGGGTTAAAATTGTGCAACAGCTTTCTGAATTGTTTTGCTCACCTGGAGACAACTGCATGTGTACTTGCTCTCATATTATTAAGAGTTTTGAGCTTTTTTGGTGGCCTCTTGAAACCTAACTATAAGGTGCAATTACCTGCTGCTTCCTGCTTCTGTTTCAGTACGTGTTTGCCTTACCTGACTTGATAAATAAAGTGGGACCACAGGCTTTGGGTTGGTTTCTTCTCTTTTTCTTTTTTCTCCCATGGCAAATTTAAACACCGCTGTTGTTGTTTTTTTTGCTAGACCGTTCTTGTGTTTGCTGATTACACTCCACAGTTTGCTTTAAAGACAGGAAGAAACGAACGCTATTGTTGCTTTTGCATTCATGCCTATTTGTCTAACAAAACTCTTTGACCTCTAGATTTTCCAAGAGGTGAAAAGCAGCGATATTGCCAAAACTTTCAGAAAAGCCATCAACAGAAAGGAGGGAATATGTGCTCTTGGTGGGACGTCGGAGCTCTCCAGCGAAGGGACGCAGCACTCGTATTCAGGTATGACTTGGACTTACAAATGTGAATAGATGGGAAGTCAGAGCAGCTGTCAGTAGACCAGCTACTATTATTAGTAGTAGTAGTAGTAGTAGTATTTTCTCTGAAGGTCAGACATTGGCGTGAGGACAGGACTGAATATCAAGTGACAGCATCTTAGCTCTGTTTTTTAAATCAACCGTGTGCTCATTCTTATTTGGATTAATCTTGGTAGTGGTCCTTGGGATGCATTGGAGGATAGTTTGCTTCCTGAGTAATAACTCCTACTGTACATATTACTCTGATGCTAACGACAGAGGTGACCCAAACCTGAATTTGACTTGTATAACCCATAAAACTTAAATGCAACGTGGTAATTGCAGCATACAACTCTTAGGTTATTCTACATTGGTTTCTTGGGACAAATATTTGCTGTGCTTTAAAAGGCCTGGATTAACTTTACAATTGCACTGTTTTTAGAGGAAGAAAAATACGCCTTTGTAAACTGGATAAACAAAGCCTTGGAAAACGATCCCGACTGTAGCCATGTTATTCCGATGAACCCAAATACAGATGACTTGTTCAAAGCAGTTGGAGATGGGATTGTTCTATGGTAAGTCATGATAGCTCGTTTCATACGAAACTCCCCCTGGCATAACTTGTTTTTTCCCCCAATCCAGCTGCTTTTGTGCCCCAGCACATTCAAAGAATTTCTGTAATGAGGTGCCTTTTAAACTAGACTTTCGGTGCAACAGAGCAATGCTTTGGTATCAACTGCCTTGGGAACTAGTTCAGTGTGTTGTCTTGGTCTCAGATTTCTTTTGGTTTAATTGCTTCTCTGTTTGGGTTGTGGGTTGACTTTACTCAAGGTGCATCATAAGAAGGTGAGGGAGACTTGGCTATTGGATTAGTAGAAGTTTTTAACCTGGCATAGAAATGCGTTGTGTTATGTTACCTCCTTTTACAAACCTAGCCAACTGGATGAATTCAGAGAGAGAGGAGGCAGCAGCCTACACAGGTTTCAGTCATCTTGGATTCTCACATCTTAAAAGTATTTTCCCCTTTGTTGGAAGTTTCAACAGAGGATAAAGGAGATGGACCTAGAAATAAAATCCTGGGTATCTGACCAACCTCCCACTGACTTCAGTCATGGCTAGGTCAGGCTCTGTCTTGGCTGAGGCCCACTAGGAACTTGGTATGCTTTTGATGTCTCCAGTGCTATCAAGCATCCTAAATTCCCCTTTTTGTAAAGGCTTTTCCAGTTGCATCCCAAGGAGGAAGCAATGGAAACAGCTGGAGTTTCAGTTGTGTCGTATCATCATTTTTCCAACTACTGAGTAGGTCAAATAAAAAATATCACATCCACTCAATGAACCTTGCCTGCCTCTGTCCTTAGACCAACACGGCTACAACCAAAAGCCCAGTATTAACATGGGGAAGATCGTCCTGTTTTCATGATGTCTTCACACCTTGGTGTTATTTGAGTAGTGGGGAAATCATTATCAGTGCAAAGCAAGGACCTGGCTCTGGCTCTGGCATGGTATAAAGTGTTGCTCTGCATGTTGAGCAGGAGGAAAACCAGTTCTTAGTCTGGCTTTGCATTGCATTCACACGCAGTCTTCTCTGAAGGTTTGCGACGCTTTGTTTATTTTGGAAGGGATGTTTCAGAGCAGCTGGGTCTCTCCTTTCTAACTGCTCTGGCCTGAGGCTGCTGGCAGACATTACTATTAGGACACAATTAACCTGCTAATTGCACTGTAAATGGCAACTGTGCCACACGTTCAAGGAATCAATGGTGCGACCAACTGGAAAACTAGCCAGAAAAACATCCCACGAAAGACGCATAACGTTTTTGTGGCTGGATTTCATAGTTTCATAGTTGGTTGGGTTGGAAGGGACCTGAGCAGATCATCAAGTCCGACCCCCTGCCATGGCAGGAAAGAGTACTGGGGTCAAACGACCCCGGCAAGGTGATTGTCAAGCCTTGTCTTAAAGACCCCTGGGGTAGGACACAGCACCACTTCTCTTGGAAGTTGGTTCCAGATCCTAACCATCCCTACCATGAAGTCGCGCCTCCTGATATCTAGCCTAAATCTCCCCTCTGCCAGCTTGTGACCGTTATTCCTGGTCACTTCTGGTCATGCTCGGGGGAACAGGGACTCCCCCAATGCCTGCTGGTCCCCTCTAACTAGTTTGTAACAGGCCACTAGATCCCCCTCAGCCTTCTCTTATGGAAGCTGAACAGGTTCAGGTCCCGTCGCCTCTCCTCGTAGGGTCTGGCCTGCCCTGCTGCCCCCTGATCATGCGAGTGGCCTCCTCTGGACCCTCTCGATGTTGTCCACATCCCTCTTGAAGTGCGGCGCCCAGAACTGGACGCAGTACTCCAGCTGCGGCCTGACCAGT